TCAGTTCAATTCTATCATCCAATTTGGGTCCAATATTTAACATGGTCCATCGTGTACTTTGAATATTTTGACACCGTTCAGTGCCGCCTCCCTAGCAGCACAGTGCAGTTCGCACTCATTGTCATATGTTACGCCATCGCTGCCGCAGACAGGATCTATAATCCAATGACAGGGACATGTCAGGAGAGCAGTGACAGGATTCAGGATCAGCAGACTGAGGGCGACAACAGCGAAAAACTGCATGATGATTAACTATTAACAAGTGCTGAAACAACTTTGAATTGATTTTCAATTGCTGGCGTGTTTATATAGGCTTTTAACAAGCTCTGAGAACGATTAATCCGCTAATAATTGATCCAAAAATTATAGATCTGCAAATCTGAAATTTAAAGCTCTCTATAATCAATTTGTTCCAAATGGGCTTGTTATTGTTTTTAAGAGGTACTGCATGAAGCGAACTAAATTCATTCGCAGAGCATTGGCAAAAAATTACAAAACACAAGTAATGTAAATGTTACGGTCGGGGGTTAACGGGGTGTAAAATACTGATTCATGTGCCAATCGCTGTGACTGCGATTTAGCGTAAATTAATAGAGGATGTCAGCTGAATGAAATGCTTACAAAATTGGTATTATAGTAACCCACATTTTTATTATTACTATATCTCACAATGTCAATTTCCAGTATAGTAATAATCCGTCTAGCCTATCCACCAGCTAAGCGTATTCACTTCTGTCTGACTCCTGGGACTACTGTCGGCAGATCCAAATCTGGCCATCCAATTACGTCTCGGCCATAACTAATCATAACTTGTGCAGTCTGTGCTGCCAAGTTGCTAGCAACTAATTCCTTGAGCAAACATTAAGTTGAATTGCAGCGAGTCGCCGGAAGAGGCGTACGGATCGGAGACTGAGACGAGCTGGGCTAACTGAATGCATAAGGCAAGCGAGCAGAGACAGAGGGCACTGAGACCGACCGAGACGAAGCTGGCTGAGAGTTTTCCACTTTTCAAGTGATTATTTGAAAAATTTATTAAAATGCTCATTTGAAGTTATTGTCGGGCGCGCTTGATGTAGATACTTTGCTTTTACGACTAACGAGACCGAGTGGCCGGCAAGGAGACGACTCGCAGATCAACTCACAGACAGCCACAGAGACTGAGAGAGTGTGAGTGTGCGAGTCTGTGTGTGTGAGTGTATGAGTGTGAGCCAGCAAAGTTTCAGCACGCCCCAGTCAAGCAAAGGACGCGACGTCGTCAGTCATGTCAACAGCGCAGCGCAGCGCAGCTCACTTCCGGAATTCCAGACTTGAACTAACTCAACTTTTACGGCCCGAGCAGCTCTGGCTGCTCTGCTGGTTAGCTAGGTCCTCTGCGGATACTTTGCCAGCATCAGCATCAGCATCAGTCTAAAGTTTGTGTCGTCGCCATCGCCATCGCCATCGTCGTCGTCGTCGTCGTCGTCATCGTCGTCGTCGTCGTCGTTGGGCAATTCACTTTTATTGAAATGGCGTGCAATGCTCTGTTCTGTTTGGCTGGATACGGAATCCGATTCTTTTGGCTTGGCTTGGCTTGGCTTGGCGCAGCGCTGCGCTGCGCGACGCGACTTGGCTCTGCTTCGTTTCGGTTTTTCGCATTTCCAATTCGCTGTTGCTTCTTCATTTCTTTTTCTCTATACTCTATACAGCGGGTATTACAAGTTTTATGTTACGTTTGTTAGAACTTTGATATCTACATTTTTATCAGAGCTTAACTCTGCTAGGGCAAACTTGGAGTTTTTTTTTTTTTTTGTCTTAATGTATTCCTACTAAGGACTCATAGTAAAATGTCTCAACTGACAAGAATTTGTATACAGGGTTGTTCATATTCGACGTCGAATATTGGCATCCCCATATAAAGAAACTAGCTTTAATATTGTAAAAGCCTGTCTCTTATCATATATATACATTATATATTTATTATAATATATATAGTGTAGATATAAGGATCGAAAGATTTATATACTTTTTATATATTTGTCGGTATTAAATTCAACATTTTTTTTTCATA